CATATCTTACCATAATAATATCACACCATACCATACCATAACGAAATCATACCATACCATAACCATGCATATCATACCATAATTATATCACACCATACCATAACCAATTTATACCATAATTATATCATACCATACTAATGATTTAATTGGATATTTTATTGTAACACGTGCAGGTAATAACGGAGCTGAACAGGTAAGAATCTGCGGGACTTTATTTTCAGCGGTTGTCTGTTCTTGCTTAAACGTTGTTGTATATTTCGTCTAGTGTTGTCTAATGCATACTTGGTTGCTCATTTCGCGACGTTAAGCGTATCTTGTCTCACCATATGTATGTTAGAAATGCCTTCAGTTATGGCAAGGTATGGCTACTTAAAATAGTCTGGAATTTGACACGTTTTTTATGTCCATTAGCACTTTGTAAGAATGAAGTTGATTTAAGTAGTTGCAGCGTTTTAGAAGTTTATTTCTTTGGAGATATTTGAAATCGTGCCTTGATGATGTGCTCAGTGAATTTACAGAAACGTTTTTCAATAAACTCCAGCCTAAACGTAACGTCTCTTGTGATGCGAGATACCCCTTCACAAATATATGATTTTTTTAGTAATAATTACTAAATTTTCTGTCCTTAGACTGCTCCCACAATATCTGGAAAAGTTTACTAAACTTTCGCCAACGACTCAAGTTGCCATACCACTGCTAGAATTTCCCTCTGGTATGTTTCTTGAAGTTACGTAAATTATGAAAACTGTTACAAAATATCAATGTACCCCCTAAAGAGAGCTAGGTTGTGTAAACACACAATCGTATTCGGCGAAAAGTTGGTAGCTTTTAAATCGTTTAAATCGCATTGTAACAGCTTTGTGCTTTGTACAAAAACTTCACAGCGATCCAGTTGAAACAAGTCTTTGGAATATGTTTGCCTTACACAGAATCATCGAAGTTGGCTCAACGCGATAACATCTGAAACTTTTTATTATTGGTTTTGTCAAAATGATTAAAATATAAACGAACTGATATGTTTCACCTTAGATACTCTCAATACACTGTAGCTCTTGCTGATAATGTCATTCCATCCGGGTTTGTCAACTGTCCGCTATTGTTAAGAAAACAATTCGTGCCATTTATTACGAAAGTAAGTCCACATGTCATTCTATTGCCACGGGGATTGCTTGCTGAATTTTCAATAGATATATTTGCAAGAGCGACCAAGTTTTAATATTCTTCTAGTGAAAGCTCTTAGGAACGTATTTGTCATTTCCAGGCTTCTTCAACTGATAGCAAAACTCGTGCAGATGATTCTAGCCAGGTGCCAAACAAAATTCGATAAAAGCATCTGACCTTCTTACCCGCGATTTAAAGGCACTGGTACCGTATGCTCAGTACAGAAATCTTGTGACTCAAACATCTTGTGACGACCAGCGGTGGAAAAGACTGAGATTTATGAAAGTTTAATTCCAAAACAACTCTTTGGTAAGCCCATTTATTTTCTCAGTCAAATTGTGCTCTGAATGTTTTCGCCACAACTTGTCAACGATGGGTCAAACCTGTTCAATGTTTCGGTTGGGCATTCTGTTGGCGGAATGTCAAATTGATATTGTTGTATTTCAGATGATTTATCGGCCGAACTCATTAAAGAAGGAGCCAGACAATGCCTTGAAACTACAACAGAACTTCTTAGCAAGAGCACAGACAGCGTACATTGATTGTAGATCTTGTCAAAGATCGCCTCGCATCGTGTAGAGAAGATGAGGAAACTAATATTGAAGATACCCGGGATGATGTTGAAATGAAGAAAACCGAACTCAAGGAGTCAGGTTTGTAATGTTAAAACAGATCGGCCATTGTTCGCGCATTACGAAATGAACAATTATCTGCCTGCATTTTAGACAGCGCAGAACAAAAGATGCTGCTTACAGAACACGGCAGATCTTCACCCTCGTCGATTTTATTACAAGATTCCGGTCAAAAGTTGATCTTGGTTCGGCATTGTCCAACGAACTCGATATTTGAGTCGTAGGCCGAGATATGAACCAAGCGCTTTTATGGTAAGAATTTTCTTCAAACTCGCTTTGCATGAAATTTATTTCGTGCAAGAACATTCACTATCTCCCTTACATTGCTACTAACATGACTGGCAGGGGAACAGAAAAGAAAGAGATCTTTGATTTAGACTAGCTTTTTCATTTTACAATCGTTTCAGATTGATGTCGTACCAGGTTCCAAAGACACTGTTTACACAAGGAAGAAACTGAAGGCAAGCGAAATTACCTTTGCAATATGGAGGAAATATATATTTTAATATGACTATATTTACCAATTTTTCTTTCACAGGGAACAGTCAAGGCTTATTAACTCGTGAAGAGTTTCAAAAGGTAGCAATTTAAGATCACGAATCATCATCGTGCAATAATCTCAACATCTGTTTAATTTTAGCCTGTTCCTGGTAAATCCCTTCTGGATGCAAGTCCTTTGAAAACTTTTTGAGTTAAGACGAGGATAAACTTAATGAATCCGTAAGTCAAGTAATAATAATGATAAATTGGTCTTACGGATTATTAAATACTGAGCATTATAAACCGGTAAACTCAGAAACCGGTAATCTCAATTTTGCACTTCGAATTACGTAATTTAATCCTTGTGGTTGAAGGTGAGGACTTGCAACGTTACTTATTTATTACAGGGTGACGATAGCGTGGGGAATTCAGGGGTCGGTAGACTTAGGGAAAGACACTCGTAATATAATAGATTTTACAAAAATATCTAGGTTTTCCTATGAGTTACAATAAAACCTTACAATGTTCATTGATGAGCTCAGAATGTTCGTTATCACGTGACCTATGCACGACTCTTAATGGTTACTGTTAATCGTTGTAACACCTGCTGTACTGGTAGATGATTATACATTTTGTTTGAGCTTTACATACCCGGGGAAAACACTCAGCCACGTCGAGGTTATTAGCTAATTCCAACAGCTTGTCGTAGTATTCATTGTGGAATAAATCTACAGAGGCACGTAGTTTGCCATTTCATCCTTAAAAGATTAATCTGTTTTTTGATTCCGCAATATCGATTTTTTTTCTTCTTAATTGGACCGTCAATGACAAAGTATTCCAGAACATGTTGGGTGATAATGAGAGCAGCCATAAATTCAAATTTCTCACGTTGCGAAAATGAGACTGTGCGTCACTAGCTAATCAGGAAATGGCCCTTCCTGCGATCCTCCAAACTGCATAAAATGAGTGTTTCGTAGATAACTTTGAATGCATCCAAACAACCATCGCGGGATCTTATTCGTTCTACCCATCGTGTCGTGGAAGGCTTTGCGAGCTGTTACGGGTTAAACCAAACTCTTCATCTTTTTACTTAGATACTGTGAGCGGATAGGGAATCTGATAAAAAAGCTGGCGATATTGTGCCTGACTCAACATATTTTCACTGGAAGAATTGAACACGCTTTGGCAAAATAAGGTTTAAACGATGACTGGAGTAATGAACATGCAACGCCTTCGGTTTTTCTAATATTCTCTCGAAGATGTGTGAGATTAACTGCAATATTTCCTAAAGCGGTATACTTCATGCAGTCACCCATGACGTAAGTTGACAATTTCTTATTTTGTACTTTTCTGCAGACAAAATCCTGTGTAAGAGAAAATTATGCATTTTACTGAGTTTATGTTGTCAAAATCTGGATTAAGGCTGTTTTCCACCACGTGTTTTTCATACGCACGTTAGTTTTCTGCATATTAAGTATGCATTAGTTGACCTAGATTTACAACAATAATCGTTAAAAGGAAGGGAGAATAATTTAAATTGGCAGATTGAAGCTTATTATAATCATAACCATGTACGTATGGACTCGAGTTTACTTGATAGTCGATAGCGTCGACAGCAAATGACATTGAAACGTTTGTATGAATATTTCGAAGTCCTGACAGTATAATTAATATCCCGTAGGTTATTTCAAGCAAATATTTGACTAGGACGTCGAACAAGGCCAGTTAACCGCGTCGTGGATCGTAAACTGACCTCAATACAGAAAGTGGGGACAAAAAGTCCCCACTTTAGCCAAAATACAAAACATTTTGTTCTAGGCCTCTCAGTTCCCGCCTCGCCGCGTATAAGGAACGTTAAGAGGCCTAGGGACTACGCTGCGGTAACTCTGGTTGCTGAGTTGACTGGGTCCGAATCCATGAAATGGTAGATTTGAAATTTTCTCGCCAGAAGTACGGCTGGAATATTAAGTCTTTTAAACTCCAATATATATTTCAAACGATTTTAAATATTTTGTAAGGACTTTTCGGAGAATAAAGAAAGACTTATCATTAATGCAATCACAATGCTCATTGCTCACGAAGGTATATCTTTGCCAATAAATATATTTAGTGTTCAACCCTAAAATACATATTCTGACTGCTATTACCTTCACAGGTGTTCAATATATACATAAAATAGTTAAAATGTCTCGTCTATTTGCAGGAGACCAAAACAAAATATCAGATAAAGATCTCGAAGCACTGTTTCACGCTTTGAGACATTAGGTTGGATCCAAAGCAGGTTTCACAACTCAGTAGGTGAGAAACGTTTCTTTAACCATAACACACGCTGTTTACTCAACCAGCTCACTTTCTCTAGACCGTGTTTCTGTTTTGTTTTTACAGCTTCTATGAGAAGGTTGGTGTGAAAACTGTGAAAGCTTTGAAGAGGAATAATGAAGCCGTGACTCACGCCGCTGTCGACATGCTGTGTGCTCTGATGCAGGTAAAGAGAGGGCTTTCCTTTAAGCGGCCAAAATGGTCAGACCGGTCATATTTAAATTTAAAATAGAGTATTTCGTTAAGAAATAGTTGCGAAATTTCCGAGCTAGACAGATGCAAGTAACGATATACTTGAACGCAGAGTTCTTGAAACACCTAAAATACCAGTAATCTGTCTGTACCGAGATCAACAATAGGACCGGTCTGGCCGTTTTTTCCGTATAAAAAAGCGCCAACACTTTAACGATGAATTTCCTGGTAATATGTTGCCAAATCTGTCACTGTCATTAGTGTTACCCTTTAACTTGCAATCCACATAAACTCAGCCAACTTTGAAATCTGAATGTTAACAGGATCCAATTTTATCGAAACCAATTCTGTTTTTTATATAGCCAACGCACGATAACTATGACATTCGACAAGAACAGATAAACAAAAGCTCTGTTATCCTCTGAAAAATTTCTAAGCAGTTTGTTGGAAATTCTCACGATAAATGTGGTAAGATGTGCGGTGTTGGTTGCCTATAATCTATGCTGAACCCTTGCATTTTATTTTTCCATCCCTCTTGTATGTATATAGCTTTGTTTTGGAAGAGAAATTCCCTTGCAAAACCCAGCAAGTGATTCGTAGCAACTGCCTTTCTAATTTGAACTACCTTTCTAACTAAACACAAGAAATAGATTAACCATGAAAACTTTTCTTCTATATTCGTTCTACTGGGGTTTTAGTTATAAGTGGATTGCTTGATTTTCTGACGTTTGCTCTGTGTCCTCCTTACAGGTTTGTTCTAGTTGCTTTGCAATATATTAAAATAATACGGGGGTGAAGTTGGACATTCATGTTAAACTAATAGTAAGGTGTGATTGCTTCCAATATTTTGAATCAACTCATGTAGTCTGTTACAATAAATCGACTATTGCATATTCCTCTTAGTGAGACAACAGATGATGAACAGTTTGGGAAATTACTGGAGAAAGTTGCAGGTATGCTACAAAGAAATTTGAGGAGCTTTTCATTCAACCTCAGTCAACACGAGTTGACTGAGGTTGAGAGTTGATTAAATAGCCTTTCTCTCTTTACCTTTTTGGTGAAGTTTACCACGTCCACTAGCTTGACCCATGCATAGGAGCAACTCATGAAGTCTGTTATTTGTTTGTCTAGAAATGGTTCATTGCATTTATCGATTGTTCCAGGTAGGTTTACGACAAAACTAAATAATAGTACCAATTTTACCATTTCTTCGCTTATATAAAAAATTTATACGCAAGTTATAAATTTGCGGTTAATGGAGTAATATGTTCTAGAAGGTCCTATTTCACCCTACATATGGACCATCTCTGGCCTAGCTGTCATAGTTATCGCATGCACTAATTTTAGCCCGGGCAAGGTCAAGGCCTCAATAGAACAAGGCAGTCTTTACCAGGCATGTTAATAGTTATAAAGTCCAAAATCTGAACGAACTCTGGCATCTTAGCATGTGAACAACGTATGCAAACTTGTGTTACGGCCAATCGAATCTCCCCTGACGGTCTTTCCCTTCACGTGGACTTGAACAATGGCCCCCTTTTTTCTGCAAGGATCTTGCCTGCTCCCCATGCATGCATTGGTCATTCGCAAGACCTCAGCCAATGCGTCCACAAGGCCGGTCAAATATTTAAAGGTCTCTATCGAAAGGCAGTAATACATATATCTGCGTTTCAAAAGTAACTATAAACAAAAACTACAATGCCGAAGCAAGCTAAAAAGCGCCGTTCAACTCGTACTCGTCCATCGCGTCAAAACGAACAAACTGTGGCGGAAACCAATGGCGAGACGTCGAACGCGGCTAACCACACCAGCGAACAGCCGCTTGGTTCTGCCACGAATTACGCCGACATGTCCACCAAAGTCCTCCATCTACTCTTGGCCCAGCGAAACCTCTCTCTTTCTGGTTCGCGTGACGTTCTTTTACGCCGCCTTGCTGATCACGACAGAACGGCAAATTCTCCAGCCTTAAGGTGGCTCGATACAATTTTTCGAAATTTTTAGATGCACTTTTTAAACAGGGATATTAAGCACCTAAATATTTCACTATAAGGCTTAGAGTTAATACACATTGCAGGAGACATATCTAGAGCGAAAATATTCTCAGAACTTTTGCCTGGCACCCGTTACCATGGCAACAGAGAAGTTTCAAAATGGCTGCCAAACAGGGTTTAATCGTGTTTATATCACAAACGAGTTCGGTGACCCCCAATTTTTTTTTCATTAAACGTTTACGCCATAAATGCTTTATCTATATAAAAGTTTTGAAAAAATTCTAACATGGGGAATTTTTTCTATTTACAAAAACGTTATTTTTGCTTATTAAAAAATTCCTCCATGTTAGAATTTTTTTAAAACTTTTTCATAGATAAATAATCTATAGCATAAACGTTTAATGAAAAAAAAATTGGGGGTCACCGAACTCGTTTGTGATATAAACACGATAAAACTTTGTTTGGCGGCCATTTTGAAACGTCTCTGTTTCCATGGTAACGGGTGCCCGGCAAAGGTTCTGAGAATTTTTCCGCTCTATATATGTTTCCTGCAAAGTATATTAACTTTCAGCCTTATAGTGAAATATTTAGGTGCTTAATATCCCTGTTTAAAATGAGCCCCAAAAAAATTCGAGAAACTGTATCGAGCCACCTTAACACCAGCTCTACCACCACGTGATCCGACTCCCAGTACGCCTCAATTTTCCGCTGAATCTCTCCGCTCGTTGGCAGTTAACCTCGCACCGTTGCTCCGCGACGTTTTGGCCCGCGACACGCCACCATCGCCTCAACCACCGCTTCCACAACCATCGCCAGCAGCGAGCCTTATCGTGCAGTCCGCGCCAACACCCTCTTCCGATCTGGGTAATCCTTCCAGCGTTGCCACTTTAATCTCGTCTTCGCCAGTTTACTCGTCATCCACCTCATTACCGTCAGAGACTCCCAGTCTGCCTAAGAAAGTCGAGGAACAGATCGTTAACGGTGAGTTTGTCGATTTCTCTTTGCTTCTCCCGGGTAATTCAGACCGCCCCTCATTCGGTCCAATTCGCCTGTCAGTCGAAGGTGATCAGGGCTATTCGATACCTCTTCCGAATTTCTCAAATTTCGGCAAGCGTCCAAAAATCGACAGTCTTGATAAGTGGCTAACAGCCTTCGGTGTTTACGCTTCGGTTGTTGTCGCTAAATTTCCGCACAAAGCTTCGCAGCTGTTTGCCTACCAGCGCATAATCCGAGAGGCTTCACAAAAGTTTAAAGGTTTGGCTTGGTATGCGTACGACATAGATTTTCGCAAGCTCGCCGCGAAACATCCAGCGCTCAATTGGGGCGAACGTCATCTCCAGCTGTGGCTAGATAAGTTCACAGGTCTCGCGCGCACTATCTGCTTTGTCTGTGGCGGCGCCGATCACATGTCTGATGTTTGCCCTCTTTCCTCATCAAGGTCCGAAGGCGGCCGGTCAAGCAATTTCCCCAACCGAGGATTCTGCCGCAATTTTAACGGGGGCCTCCCGTGCTCAGCAAACCCATGTTCCTTCGAACATCGGTGTAATCGATCCGGCTGTGGCGGACGGCATGCGGCATATGAACACGCTGACACCAGCTCTGCGAGAACTGATGACACTCCGCGTCGCAGAAAACACAAGTAAAGAGTTTGTTGATAGATTAAAACCAGTTACACCAATTAACGTTAATCTCCTGGAATCCATGCTAACTAACCACCCAGATCGCGAATTTGTTGTTGCCCTGTTCGGGTTTAAGGGCGGGTTTTAAAATTGGGTATAGGGGCCCCGTCACCCCTTCGTTTCACCTAATCTTAAACGGCCCTTATGTCGCCGGAAATAGTGGATGAAAACCTGCTCAACGAAGTCAAACAAGGCCACACAGTTGGCCCCTTCACTAGCCCTCCATTTACAAACTTCCAAGTCTACCCTTGGGCCTTGTCCCTAAGAAGAACTCATCCAAATGGAGAACCATTTTTCACCTTTCCTATCCAAAATCATCAACCACTAGCGTTAATGCTAATATTTCATCCGAAGATTACTCTTTACAGTACGTCCGAATTGACGACGCTATGAGAATCCTTCTTGAACTAGGCCCGAACTGTTTCATGGCCAAAACCGATGTTCAATCCGCGTTCCGTAATATCCCAGTTCACCCCGATGACTGGGAACTCCTAGGCATGAAATGGCGGGGACTGTATTTTTTCGATCGTGTTCTTCCCTTCGGCCTTCGCAGTGCACCGTACATTTTTAACATGCTTTCGGATGCCCTCGAATGGATTCTCTTACACAAATTAGGTATTCCAAATGTTCTCCATATTTTGGACGATTTCTTTATCGCTGAGGCTGCCCCCCGTCCTTTATGCCTGACTTCGCTGTGTAAGTTGTTGTGTTTGTTCACTGAACTGAATGTTCCCATAGCACCTGGGAAAACTTTTGCTCCTACCCAAACCTTAGAATTTCTTGGGATTACTCTTGATTCCATCCACATGCTGGCTCTCCTGCCCGAGGATAAATTAGGTCAGGCTAGGACCCTTCTTGCGCAATGGCAAAAACGCTCTTGCTGTAAGTTAAAGGAGCTTCAATCTCTTATTGGGATCCTTCAGTTTGCATGCCGAGTCATTGCCCCAGGACGCACATTCCTCCGACGCATGATTGCCCTTACATGTGGTATTAAACAGCCCTATCATTTTGTGAAGTTGAACACGGGTTTTTATAAGGATTTAGCTATGTGGGAAGTTTTTCTCAAACACTGGAATGGTATTAGTCTTTTTCTTGAGCTCGGGCAGACCCCTCGCCTCACTTGAATTATTTACCGATGCAGCAGGTTCCATCGGTTTTGGTGGATACTTAGCAGGACAATGGTTTCAGGGCCGGTGGCTACCCAGCCAAAATATCGCTAACAAAACTGGTATTTCGATCGCATGGCAAGAGCTTTACCCAATTTATCTTGCATGTTGTCTCTGGGGTGCCGAATGGGCAACAAAACGCATTGTTTTTTTCTGTGACAACGAGTCCGTTGTCCAAATTCTCAATCAGAAGACGTCAAAATGTCCGAAGATAATGGACTTACTCCGACCGATTGTTCTTTGTACTTTGCAAAACAACTTTACATTTACGGCCAGGCATGTACGCGGACTTGACAATGGCATTGCTGACTCGCTCTCTCGTTTCAGATGGACCGCTTCAAACAATTAGCGCCGCTGGCCTCTCCTCTGCCTTGCGTCATCCCAGTATCCATGATTCAAACTTAAAGAACCGTGTTTATGAACTTATTCAGCATTCATGGGCACCATCAACCAAACAAACCTACGCCGCCGGCATAAAACAATTCATTTCATTCTGCCTTGCAAAAGGTATCGTGACACCCTGTTCACCTTTACTGCCTGCGACTGAACTTACCCTGCTCTACTTCGTCGGCCATCTATCCAAATCTGTTTCATATTCAACTGTTAAAACATACTTAGCTAGCGTGTCTTACCTCCACGTAAATTTTCAAATCCCATTCGACATGGGGAGCATGCAACTATTAGAAAAAAGTCTGAAAGGTCTGAAGCGCCTCAAGGGTGAAAAATTGCGGGATCGACGGCCTATCACTGTGACCGAACTCGAGTCCCTTCATTCTGCCCTGCGACCTCAGTTTACAGACTGTTTAGACAATGTGATGCTTTGGGCCGCCTTCACTCTGGCCTTTTTTGGCTTCCTGCGCTGCAGTGAATTCACGTGTAATTCTCCATTCGATCCCGAGTGCCACCTATCCCGCAATGACATTATTTCCACCCAAATATCCTCCACGCAGAATATTACGATGTCTGATCAAGCGTTCCAAAACCGACCCTTTTCGTCGTGGATGCCGTTTGACAATCGGCTCATCGCGTAATAAACTCTGCCCGGTTCGAGCTATGAAAACATATCTACTCCAGTCATCGTCTGGCCAAACCCCTCGTCCACTGTTCCAATTTACATCAGGTGTCCCACTTACACGTGTAACCCTAACATCGCATCTACGTCATCTACTTCAAGGGCAAGGACTGGCCGAAAACCTCTACGCCTCTCATAGTTTCAGGATCGGAGCTGCTACAGCTGCGGGCTCAGCCGGCCTACCCTCCTGGCTCATCAAAACGCTAGGACGTTGGTCTTCAGACTGTTACGAGAGATACATTAGAACTCCAAAGGACGTCTTAGCTTCCGTTCCATACAAACTAACTGCAAGTACCAAACATTAAAAATTTTGTTTTAATATCTACCTTTTAAACTCAATCATTATGCTTCCTTGCTGTATAGTCCGTATAACACAGTCCCCTATTTGTGTGTATGTGGATCCTTCCTGCAAACTCATAGCCTGCCGTATGTTTTGTTCTGTCATGCTACCACGGCAACTGCACGATCTTCGAATCTGTTTGTTCAAGGACCCACATACACAATTGCCGGCCACCTTTGCAAGATTGTGTCTTAAAGACATTTTAGGGTGGCCCTCTCTGCTGTCGAAAGACAGGACTCTAATTCGGCTACTTCCCGTGCCGGAAATGGCGGTTTGCACTTTGTGCAGACCGCCATTAATGGCAGGAAGTGCTGTCCGTCTGGACAACACCTCACCACGTGAAGTGCATTTGTATACAGGTCGTTTGGTCGAAAACGCGACCTGATGACCCGAGCTAGAGACTCGATGGGTCAGTCACACAATATTTGAGTCGAGTTGACTGACCTGAACAGGGGTCCGTCTGTTCCCCTGTTATCTAGAGGTCCGCCTGTTCCTCTAGAAAACCTATAGTTTTTGCATGCTCTGTCGGGTTTTGAGTGCCCTTACTGTCTCAGTATAACTAATGGTGGTCCTAGATCATCAGGTCTCAACTCACTGAACAACATGCACAGAGCTGGCTCACACCCTCGCAACTTAGAGGTCCTCCTGTTCCTCTAGGAAAAACTTCGGTTAATTAGAGCCTCTAGACCTTTTTTCGAGCGCTTCCTGCCCAAATTATATGCCACAAAAATGTCTCATTGTGTTGTTCCTTTGCTAAGTTGCCAGACGTTCAAAATCCTTATAAAGAATCTCAACATATAAACTACATTAAATAAAAAATTTATACGCAAGTTATAAATTTGCGGTTAATGGAGTAATATGTTCTAGAAGGTCCTATTTCACCCTACATATGGACCATCTCTGGCCTAGCTGTCATAGTTATCGCATGCACTAATTTTAGCCCGGGCAGGTCAAGGCCTCAATAGAACAAGGCAGTCTTTACCAGGCATGTTAATAGTTATAAAGTCCAAAATCTGAACAAACTCTGGCATCTTAGCATGTGAACAACGTATGCAAACTTGTGTTACGGCCAATCGAATCTCCCCTGACGGTCTTTCCCTTCACGTGGACTTGAACAATGGCCCCCTTTTTTCTGCAAGGATCTTGCCTGCTCCCCATGCATGCATTGGTCATTCGCAAGACCTCAGCCAATGCGTCCACAACGCCGGTCAAATATTTAAAGGTCTCTATCGAAAGGCAGTAATACATATATCTGCGTTTCAAAAGTAACTATAAACAAAAACTACAAAAATAAACCCCACCCACCTCCCCACAGCGAAGGACTGGCCGCTGTGGCATCCGCATGTAAATATACTGATACGTTAAGTTCGTTCATATGTTATCTCTAGATAGTCTATCGATATTCTTCTTGTAACTTGTAATGAATTGCAGTGATTAAACAATGGCAGGAAGTGCTGTCCTTCTGGACAACACCTCACCACGTGAAGTGCATTTGTACAGGTCATTTTGGTCGAAAACGCGACCTGATGACCTGACCTAGAGACTCGATGGGTCAGTCAGACAATATTTGAGTCGAGCTGACTGACCTGAACAGGGGTCCGCCTGTTCCCCTGTTATCTAGAGGTCCGCCTGTTCCTCTAGAAAAACCTATAGTTTTTGCATGCTCTGTCGGGTTTTGAGTGCCCTTACTGTCTCAGTATAACTAATGGTGGTCCCTAGATCATCAGGTCTCAACTCACTGAACAACATGCACAGAGCTGGCTCACACCCTCTGCAACTTAGAGGTCCTCCTGTTCCTCTAGGAAAAACTTAGGTTAATTAGAGCCTCTAGACCTTTTTTCGAGCGCTTCCTGCCCAAATTATATGCCACAAAAATGTCTCATTGTGTTGTTCCTTTGCTAAGTTGCCAGACGTTCAAAATCCTTATAAAGAATCTCAACATATAAACTACATTAAGTATGTTTTACTATTGCCCCGCTAATGGTTCTTACCAATCGTGGTTTTGAATTCGTTCCTCAAAAATTTCAGCATCCGTCGACAACAATTGTGAAAGGTGCTGGCATGGTTCTGAAGGCGATAATCGAGGTACGTTTTATTCATTTATTCATCCATTGAGAATTTTCTGCCTTTGACGAACGTCATTTATAACGCTCTGCATTTTTTTAGCCGTGATGAATGTACATATTAGTTCAGTTGATATTTAAGAGGTTTTAAAGGGTCTTAATTTTGAGAGGTATTATACACACTTCAAATCAAGCCAGGAACAGATGCAGGAAAAATGAGCGAACTATAGATCCTCCGGCAGGAATCGAACCTACGCTTTTGCGATGCCGGTGCAATGCTCTTGTCACTGAAGACGTACAGTTGACTCATTTTTCCATCAACTGTTCCCTGCTTGAATTTGAAGTGCGTATAATACCACTCGAAATTAAGACCCTTTAAAACCTCAAGAATATTCCTGCATCGTGTGAAGTGCCAAAAATCATCTGTTAATATTTAGTTAGAACTTC